AAAAAAAAAATTACTTAATTCATATCTTTCAATAAAGTATTAAGTTCATTTAATTTATCTGGTTCATTATCTTCCCCTGCTAACATTAATGTCATTACTTGAAGCTTTTCATTAACATTAATAGTACTCTGATTTGATTTAAATTTTTTATTTAAACCAACAACTTTTCTAATCATTGTACGTTTAATTTCAGAAGGAGGATTAAGAATTTGTTTAAGTTGAGGGTCTTCTTTATCAATATCACATTGAGGAATAAAATCAGTTTTATCTTGTTCAGCACTAACAATAGATTTTAAAGTATAATTTGTAAATTGTAAGAAATCAAAACAAGAAGGAAAATCTAATGGAACAGTCATATTAACAATTCCATCCCATTTCTTTTTTGCAGATAAAAATTTAATTTTAATTGTTCTTTTATGATCAATTGCAGTTCTAATAATGTCATATAATATTGGAACAGGAATAAGTGAATCATAATCATCAAATCTAATTTCAATAACTTTTTCTTTTGATAAAAATGATGCTTTATCTTCTTGATTTTTTTTTATTGCTTGTCCAGTCCATCCAAGTTCTTTTCCTTTTTTTGCTTTTTCTTCTTTTTCTTTTTCTAATTCTTTTTCTAATTCTTTTCTTTTACGTTCTTCTTCTAAATATCTTTCTGTTGTTTTAGGATCTTCTATTCCTTCAACAATACGTCTAATTCTTCTAATAAATTTATCAGCATCAATTACTTTAGCAGGATCTTCACTACTCTTTTTTTTAAGAATATTTAATTTTGAAAGAATATAATTTTGATTATCTATTCTTTGTTGATCTAATTCTATTTGTTCTTTTGAAACAACTAATCCTTCCATAGAAGTAGATCTATCTAATTGTTGTACTTTTTGTCTAATATTTTTTGCTGCATTTAATGCATCACTTCGTTGTGACATTGTAAGAGTTCTATTTTTTCTATCATCAAATTGAGAGAAATCAAAATCATCTCCATCATCAAACATTACTTCATTAATATTATTTGAATTCTCTGCAAATGCTTGAACTTTTTCTTCCATTGTAAATGGTTTTGAATCAAGACAACAATCCATACCATATTGAAGTGAAGGAATAACTTTAGCCATTTCAATTTTATAATTAGCCATTTCAGCTGTTGGATTTCCTTCAAGAAAGATTTGTTCAATATTAAACATTTTATTAAATACTTGAAAAGTATTTGGTTGTCTATCTATTAAATTATTTTTTACACTTAATACTCTTAAATTATATAATCTTTTTAATCCATTTAAATTTTTAATTCTATTATTGTCTAATGTAATTACTGATAAATTTCTTACTTGACGACATGATACTACTCGAATTTCATTATAATCTGCATGTAATACATCTAATGGTCTTTCACCAATTCTTTTAATTTTTTTAATATGATTATGAGAAACATCTAATAATCTTAATTCTGGAAAATTTTCTTTTGTAAATACTTCTTCTAATTCAGTTAATTGACATTTTTGAAGTTTTAATATCTTTAAATTACTCCATACTTTTTTTTCTTCTCCATTTAATCCCATTGCCTTTGCTACACTTTCTACAAATACTCCACAAAATGATAATTTAATTAAATTATTATGGATGTCTGAATGATTTAAATCAACTCCACATAATACATTCTTTACTCCTAAATAATCTAATTCACATTTATTTGTAAAATCTAATGGAATAGGTGCTTCTACATCATCTGCATCAACATCTTCTTCTTCATTAACTTCTTCTTCATTATATATTTTAACTGCATGTAATCCTTCTAACATATTTTTTACTTTTTCAATATCTCCATATTCATTTTGTGACATTCCATTTAACATCATTGCTAATGCTGGTGATAATCTAACTTTATTTCTTCCATTTAATGTTCTAAGTGAATATTCAATAACATCTTCAAAGTGTTGTTTTTTATTTCTTTCCATTTAATAAAAACTTTATTTAATTTTTTTTTTTTTAAAGTTGATTTTCTTTTTTCTTTTTTTACTCTTTGATTTTTATTTGATTGTTCTAGAACTAACTTAATTCATTTAAATGAAACTACTTCTCTTCTCCTTATTATTATGTTTATCTTTTGCTCATCATAGCCATAATCATCATTCTCATCATAAACACTATCATATCGAAGAAAATGATCATAAAGAAATGATAAAAAATACAAATAATGAATATGGTTTTGGTTTTTATATTAATTGTACTGAAATGACTAGTTGTATTGGATGTGGACTTGCTTTAAATCAATGTTATTGGAATGTTAAAACTCATCAATGTATTAGTCTTCCAGAAAATACTTATCCACAAGATATTTATGCTGTTTGTCCTGCTGATGAAATTGCTCTCTTTGAACAACAATTAGTTATTACTATTATTGTTATTTCTACAATATTCTTATTATGTTGTGTTTGTTGTATTAAGTGTTGTTGTCCATCAACTAGACGTCATAGAACAATAAGAAGAACTCAGAGACATACTGCTCCTCATCAACCAGTAGTCCAACAACCCGTTCAAATTCCAATGACAAATTATTATATTCCACCAACTCCAGGAACATACGTCCAACCTGTTTATGGACTTGGTCAAGCATTTTAAACCAATTAGTTTTAAACAAATGAAATAAACATTTCATTCAATTAAAAGTTAAATGAATTTTAATTGTTTTAATTTTCTTTTTAATAATTATTTATTAAGTAATATTCCTGCACTATATTCTACACTTCTTCCATAAAATTCAGAATCAAATGATGATAATAATCGTTCTATTGGTTGTTGTTTATTAGTAAAACTTCCATAAACAAAATTCCCATCATTTGGTTCAATAACTTTAGGGTATTCTTGAATTTCTTCAATTTGAACTTCATACTCAACCATTGTTGATTGGTGATTTGTAGTTCTTTTTGTAGAAGAATAAAGGAAATTATCAAATTAAAAAGAATACAATTTGAATTAATGGTTGTTTGGTGAGCGTTCTCTTGGTGAATAACAATCATCATTTTCATATCTATCACGATGGAAATCACGTGGACTAATAGAACGACTTCTTCGTGGAGAATAATAAGTTGGTCTATATCGTTCTCTTGAACGACTACGTTCTGTTCTACGACGATATAATCTATCTCTAGAATAATAACTAGACTCATATCTATCATATTCTCTGTGGCGTGGATTTCTATCTCTTGTTCTATTGAAATATGAACCTAAATATCTTCCTGGTGTTTTGTCTCGTGCTTCTTCTCTTCTTGCAAAATCAACTGAAATACGAAATCCATCTACTTCTGTACCATTTAATTGTTCAACAGCACGTTTTGCGTCTTCAGCTTTGTCATATGTAACAAATCCAAATCTTAATGAACGTTGAGAAATAGGTTCTCGAATAATAACGCATTTTGTTACAGTTCCAATTTCAGAAAATACCTTTTGAAGAGAATCATCCGTTGTGTGAAGTGATAATTTATAAATGTGAACTGTTTTTCGTTCATTTATATTACCTTCATTTGGTTGATTAGATACATTTGTTGTACTTTCACTTGACATTGGACTGTTTTTTTTTTTAAGTTATATAGTTTTTATTTTTTAATTAAAACTTAAAAAATTCTAATTATTTCATATTTATAACTTTTCAGATAATTCTGACATAGTTTGATGGAAAATACCCTGTTTTCCCATTATTTTCACCATACCACCATTCTCCATCTTCTTTATATACTTTGATAATATCCCCTTCATTCAATAGTAATTCATTTTCTTCATTTGGTTCAAAATAGTACAAACTTTGTACCTTTTTATATTGTTCTGATTTTGCTCCTATCACAGGAATAATTTTATGTTGTTCTTCAGAAAATTGGAAGTTTGGTGGGATTTCTTTCATGGTTTCTTCAATTTGTTTCCATCCCTTAGATACTGAATTTAAATACTTTGTGTAACAAACTAACAAACTACTCATAATTGGTCTAGCAATTGTCATTCGTTCTTCTTCTAGACATTCAGTTTCACTAATAATATCACTTCGTAATTTAGAATATCTTTCTTTCTCTGCATCGAATTTGATTTGATATTCCTTGATTTTCCCTTCCTTCCCTGTCTTTTTCATCAAACTTTCAAGTTTCTCTTTGTGTCTATCCATATCAATTCTTGTTTTATGACAGTCATCAATTCTTCTTTGTAAGTCATCATAATATTCAATGTGTTGTCTCAAAGGATAAATTAAGTCTTGTTCTATTTCTTCAAATCCAGTTTTCTCAATTGAATTTAATATATCTACTATTCTAGAATCATTAACCATAATTGCAGTTTGTTTTAAAGTATCAATTGGTGTGAACGCTTGAGTTGGAAGAATTTCTGCACAATGAAGAATTTGTTTGTATAATTTTTTATTTTGTATCACTCTTTCTTTGGCTGTTTTTAAATCACTGTCATGTGTTTTTTCTTTGACACCCAAATGAGTTTTTAATTGGAACATTTTTCTGTTGAACTTTGTGCCAACTTTTTCACTCATACTTATTTTCTTTTTTT